TTAAAGAGGTTACTCACCCAAAAGACATCTCATCCTGGAGCTGTTTCTTTTCTCAAAAGGAAAAAAGAGTGCTTGAGAGGTCTGGGACTCTGTGGCGGGAAACAGGAATCCACTCAGCTGAGCCTCCAGACAAAATTATCGAGGTAGCCACTGAGGGTCAGTGAAAAGACTCTGTACCTTGTCGAAGGCTCCAGAGCCTTGGGGAGGTGGTCACAGAACTTAGTCCTTTTGTGGTCACCAAAATTGTTACCGCACAAAGGGAGGTTTCTCAGCCTGATGTGCATTTTAAAAAACAATTGTTATGGCATCAGCTTGTGAGAAAAGTCTTTATTGCCAGGTCAACCTGCAAGGAGACAGGAGACAGGAAGCTCTCAGATCTGTCTCTCCAATGCAGGATTTGGAGCAAAATATAAGAGATTAGGGAGAACAGGCTGGTATGTGATACTCTGGTAGGGCAGGTTTTGATGTGAGGGGTTTAAATATTTATGGTTATGTTTTAAACATTTATAACAAGGTTTTACACATTTATGGTAAGGTATGGAAGGGGCTTCAACACTGGATCTTCCTAGACAACAAACCCCTCAGCTCTGATAAGAGTCTGACTTTCAAGTTCCAGTCAGGTCCCTGGTCCTTTGGTTCCATGGAGGGGAGAATCTTTGGTTCCGGTGTCATTTTTGGGTCAAGATTTTCTCCTCTATGCATGCTCTGGCTACGTGACTTTCAAACTTTTGGCTTTCCCCTGAGAAACCTTCTGATGATAAGATAGCGTCAGTTTGAACTGGTCCTAGAGGTCCTTTCGTTACAGTCTCGGTCAAGAACTCAGAAGGGTAGAGGGAAAATCGTTTTTCTTCCTCTACAAAGCAATGAACCACTGCAGGTTTTTTTGTCTATATGTCTGCCTGGATCCCAGCTGCACTTCAGGAAGTGGAGGCACTTGTGTGGAGGGTCCAGTAATCATCCAAATGAGATAGGATGATGGTCTCAACAGGAGTTAATTCAATGACGCTGGCTGGTCAAGGCTTTTCTCAACTCTGTCTCCTCCTGTCAGTCTTCCTCATTTCTTTTGTGATTCTGGGTCTTCTCCAAGCCAAGTTGCAGAGAACATGTATATCCATTACCAGCAAGGTGAACTCAGGAAAAATCCTTGAGGGAAAGTATGACAGGAAAAGCAGGGAGACTGCGGGAAGCAGAGATTCCCAGGTGCCTTTGGAAGGTGGGGAGAGGGAAGTGGAAGTTGCTTTGAGCTTACAGGTTCCTTGGTTAGTGACTCTTGGGTATGCTTGGCAGGGTGGGGTGGGGTGCACACAGAGGGAATAGGAGTTATTTACAGTTTTAACCCAGAATCCTCATCAGCTTGAGTTCAGGGTGAGAAGGGCCTAAAGACCTCCATCTGGAATCTAGGATCCCTGGGCCACCCCTGACTTGAACTATAAGCCCATCAGACTAAAGCCCCCTGGACTCTCAGCCCATCTGACCCTTAAATGGCGTACCTTGGTGAAATTATTCTATCTTCCTCTCCTCCCCTTCACATTCACAGACGTTTACACAAAAGAAGTTCAAGGAGATTTAGTCTCTTGTCTAAGGTCATAGAGCCGCTAAGTGCAAAGCTATATCCTGAATCCAGTTCTGCCAAACTCCAACTAACTCGCTCTCTCTATTTCTTCACTTAGTCATTAGTGTTTTCTCCCCTTTCACAAGCAGCATGATTACTTGTCGCTGGTCCTTATTTTAAAAATATATAGATAGATGATGCTGCAGCTTATAATGTTGTGATTCTATGAAAGACATTTCTTTCCTCCTTTGTGGTATTATTTAAGACTACTTTGCATCCTCATTCATTCATGTGTTCCTTCCCCAAATATGCACCGAGAGACTCATCGGGTGTAAAATAAGACACCTACAATCAGGGCTAATATTTAGCCAGTAACCTCAGGAAGGTCATTTGCAGCCAGTGTTGGTTCTGATTGACTGGGCCTGCAACTTGCAGGGCGTTGAATATTTTGACTATTTCCTCTGCTTATCTGCCAGGGTAATTACATGTAATTACCTGTGTGTCCCCTCTGGTGCTCAGGTGGAATGCGCACAGCCCTAGGCTGTAAGGCAGGGTAGGGTGTGGAGTGGACTGAGCCTGCAACTTGGAGTCAAGACACAAGGACTCAGATAAGCCCTGCTACAGTCTATCTGTGTGTGACCTTGTGCGTATCACTTTCCCTGAGACTCAGCTACTCCATGAGTCAAATAAAAGGGTGTATGGCCTGCTACTGTTTTTGTAAAAGAAAAGTGCATATGTATGTACACACAGGGAAACATGTATGGAAGGATAGATACCTACCTGCTCACAATGGTTATCTGTGGGGAGTAGAACTGGGTGAAGGAGGTCTTTTTCACTTTAATCTCTTTACTCTTTCAACTTTCCATAACAAGCATTTGTTGCAATTTTTAAAAGTTCAAAAAAAAAAGTCCTATTTGTTCCTACTTTCAGGAAGTCACACTTCTTATCCTAAGTCACATGGGGCCTTGGCATCTGATTCAAGGCTGTCCAGGCTACATGTTCCATATGCTGCCCCTGAACAATGGTGCAATGTGTGCGCTGGGCACTGTTTGACCCTCTTAATCCCTGGGCCTCAGCAGATGCTGCTGGGGACTGGTAACAGAACATCCTCATGGAGTTTTCCTTGTCCTCCTGCTGGCACTGATCCAAGTCAGCAAATGCTTAGCTACTGTTCAGCCAGAGCATGTTTATCTTCTCTTGTATCCACTGATATAAAATGCCCACGAACACGCCCCAGGTTCTGGGAAAGAGCTGTCACCAAACATGATAAATTTCCAGCCTCCTTCAGATTGATAATGACGTGAGGTGTTTGTTCCTAAGTCATGAACCTAGGGGACTGAGTGGGATGTGGGAAAACAGCATGATTACTTGTCCTTGTCATAGGAAGACACACCAAGAGGGGGAAAAAAGCTTTACTATTTTCCCAGAGAATAGTTCTTCTCTCTAACAAATAATCCATCCCAAATTACCTTACGACAAATCAATCACACTTTTTAATAACAAAATGCAAAAGCAGAGATTGGAAGGAACCACGTGGTGGCAGAAAAAGCACTTGGCTTTGGATTCAGACCCATCTACATGCAAAACTAGACCTTGAACAAGTCACTTAACCCACTTTACTGAATGAACACCCTACTTTGCGCCAGGCACTCTGCTGAGCATTTCACAGCCAACAGCTCAAGCCTGAAGAGCTCTGTATTGTTCTCATCATCATATAACAGATGAGGGAAGTGGGACTCAGAGAAGAAAGCCACATTAGTGGGAGGGCTGAACCGATGACATGATGGAGCCCAAATTCCAATCCAGATCTTGAGAAGTCAAGGCTGGTACTCATTCCTCTGGATGGTGCTGCCTCTCCCATGCGTGACGGGGAGAAAGGACTTTTCTGCTCCAAACACACTGCTGCAACTAGGTCTAACCAGGAGTGATACCACTGGGTTAAGTGAACTCCTATGCACTTTCCAGGAGCCTTCTTTCACTACAAAAGCCCGAGGAGGGATAAACATCAAGACTCTGACTGAATAGTAAGGAGAGGCACCAGCACAGATCAGTGGACAGAAACTGTGCTTTGGCATCAGATGAACCTGGATTCAAATGCTGGCTCCATGGTGTACCTAACTGTGACCCTGGGTACTTTACCTGACTTCTCTGGACCTCAGTTTCCTAATGCGTAAAAGAAGACTGGTGAGAGGTTAAAATAGAATTATAAAGCACCCAGCTCAGGTCTCATTTAGGGCAGCCGCTGATCTCAGCGGGAGGGCCCCCTAGAGGGCTCCAAGCAGATGGAATAAGAGGAGGAAAATTCTTGGGTCCTGGACCGTTTATGCAGTGTGCTAAGCCTCCCTTGAGAATCTCTCTCTTGCCCATGGCCAGGGCTCTGGAGCATTGGTACGGCCAAGCCTCACTTCTTTGAGCAGCCCTGAGCCTTCCCCAGTTGGGAAAGGGGCTCTTTTCTGGAATACCTGCTGAAAGTCCACAAGAAAATCAGCCTGGAGTGAATGACCTTATAGGCTAGCTGGTCAACTGGGAAGACGCCCAGTTTTCCAGGCTGCCCCCTTGGGCCACCTCCTCATCCAGTCTGAGCCTGACACTTCCCTTCGCAGGACCCTGCCTGCATCCTGTGGCTAGGAGCCAGTGAGAAGCTAAAATACCAGGTGCTCAGTAGATGAGGCTTGCTGTTCTTCATAGAGCTGAATCAAGGGGCCCTCTGGCAACCAGCTCCTCACCTAGTTCACCCCCCCCCCCCCCCCCCCCCCCCCCCCCCCCCCCCGGGTCCAGCCCAAATCCTGGAATCTGTCGGTGTCACTCCCCTTGGTACTTTTGATAAGGGATGTTCTTGCTATCCTTTCCTCTGAAGACTTCAAGGACAGCAGCCTGGGAGGGGACTGCTCGCTGGGGAGGGGCTCCAACCGGGCTGAGTCACTGCCCTGCGGGTGAGCTATTTCAGTTCCCAGGCCAAGGACTTTTCCTCCACGACCCCAAGCCATGGAGGAGCTGAGAGGTAGCAGGCTGCCAAGGCACAGCTCTCCTCCAGACATGGCCCTCTGCCTTGTGCCGCTGCTGGGCCTGCTCTCTGCCGAGCGCGGTGGCATGGGGGATCCGGGAGCACCCGGCTTCCAAGGCTGCAAGCAGACGTTGAATGTCCCGGTGCTGGGGGCGCTGCCAGGAGGTGGCTGGGACAACCTGCGCAACGTGGAGCTGGAGCTGGTGCTGCGGCGTTACTACTCACAGTGTCTCACCACGGAGGCCGGCGAGTACCTCATCCAAGACCAGTTGCACGTGGTGCCGCAGCGGGAGAGCTTCGTGGAGACCCGCGGGGAGCTCATCAACGAGTGGCTCAGCTACACCGACACCTTCCATCAACGCTGAGCTCTCCTTCCTCCCCAGCCTCAATGGTAAGTCCTCCATCGACTGCCAGAACGTCAAGAAGTACAACCTGGAGTACCAGATGGTTACAGCCAGGGTGCAGGTCCGCCACAGCATCTACTCTGTGAAGGCCCCAGAGATCCCCGACTTCCAGCCCACCTTTCGGCAGCATCTGCTGGCCCTCAGCGACCACCTGGAGAACGATCAAATCCGCGAGGCCGAGTACCTGGCAGAGATGCTTGTGCTTTGGTACGGCACGCATGTCCTCACCGACGTGGAGGCCGGGGCTACCTTGGTGCAGGAGGACCAGGTGAGGCGGGAGCTGGTGGACAGTCAGGCCGGAGAGAGGAACAACGTCACGTCCACCGCCTCGGCCGTGTTTTTCCACATGGTCAACTTTGGGGACGCGGCCTCCTGGCAGGCGCAGAGCCAGCTCTTCCAGGACTACGTGCGGAACACGGTGGCGTCCAAGATGCGCAGCCAAGGCGGGGTGCCCTTCTACCCGGGCATCACCCTGCAGAAGTGGCAGGAGGGCATCAGCAACCGGCTAGTGGCCATCGGCAGGTCGGAGCTGCCCCTGCCCGCGCTGCTCCAGCCCGAGGCGCTGCCCGAGCTCCCAGCGCCCACCGTGCAACGCGTGGCAGCCGCTGTGCGCCGCGCCATCCACCGCTACTATGCGGTCAACGCGCTCCCGGGCTGCCTGAGGCGCGGGGCGCCCGCCTTCAACCCCCAGGCCAACCTGGAGGACGGCTCCTGCGGAGGCGGCCGCTCCAACTTCAGCTTTGGGGGTGTCTTCCAGGAGTGCGAGGCCGTGTCCGGGCAGGACGCCAAGCACCTCTGCCAGGCCTATCGCATCCCGAACCCGCTCACCGGCTATGCCTCTTGCCCAGCCAGCTACACAGCTAGTGCCCTGCACAGCGAGCTGAAGACGTGGAGCGAGCCCCGCCCTGAGTGCCAGCAGCAATGTCGGAAGTGCTGGCTCTTCTTCCAGTGCTGCCAGACCGTGTGTGCCACCCACGAGCAGCGCAGCGTGGTGCGCCTGGCTGCCTCCTGGTGCGTGCCCTCGCAGGCCTCCCTGCCTGCCACTTCGGGCTTTCTCTTCGGAGGTCTCTACAGCCCTGGCAACTCAAACCCATTCACCAAGGCCCAGGCCTGCCCCTCCTACTTCTACGCACTGACGCTCTTTGGTGATCTCAAGGTGTGTGTCAGCAGTGACTTAGAGCTGGGTGCAGCCCAGGCAGTCCCCTTTGGGGGTTTCTTCAGCTGTCAAGTGGGCAACCCCTTGGTGGGCCTCTTGAAGGGCCAGAGTCCTGGGCTCCTGCAGGAGATGTTCTGCCAGGACAGCCCTACTGACCACCCCATGAAGTGCCCAGCAGGGTACAGCCAACACCAGGCTTACCTCAGCAATGGCTGCCAAATCTTCTGCTGCCTCAGGGCTGGGGCCCTCCTGGGCCAGCAGCAAGCAGCTGTCCGGATGCCCCCATTTCTTCCCCGGCCCCCCTTGCTTAACAGCAGCAGCGCCCACAGTCTCTCTGTCTTGGTTGACTCCACTGGCCAGCGGGTCTGGGTGAGGCTGCAAGGCTCTGACTGCTGGCAGCAGGCCAACATCAATGACTTGTCCCTGGCAGCCAAGCTCTTGAGCCAGGCTGGCTCGAAGCCCAGCATCGGGGCCATTGCTGGCAGCTGGGTGGGCACCCTAGTGGCTGTGGTGGTTGTCACTCTGGGGATAAGCTATGGCTTCAGGCGCTACAAGAAAGGGGGCTACAAGAGACTGCAGGGGGGCATCCTCACAGAGGAACAGGGGGGCTATGGGACCACTGAAACCACCGCAGAGCCTGGCTCTGTCTGAAGGCACAGACAATGACAAGAATTCTGTCCAAACCTTAAAAATAACCAGAGAGGACAGCTGCATCATTACTAATTTAAGCTTTGGCCCATTCTGTTCCTTCTACTAACTAGAAAAAAAGTAAGATACTCAACCACAGAACTGGTCCCACTTTCTGAAGTTACCAGTCTTGAACTAAACTATGCCTCCTCCAATCTTCTTCCAAATCACCTAACCCAAGTTCAATGCCTTTCCCTAACAGCCTTGTGCAGAGAAGTGTTCTCCATGGTGTGTTCCCAGGTGGGCTACCTCCCTTGTTGCAAGGAAACAATAAACCCAACTTTGTTCAAACACAGGGGTATTCCTGGTGCTTTTGGGCAGAGGGGAAGCAACAGGAAAAAACAGAATTGACATTGACCCCAGGACATATGACATAGCTTTTGCAGTTGGACTTTTTTTTTTATAATTGTTATAAAATTCATGATATCGATCTGTTTTCCCAGAATCATTGCCTTGTACCCAAGGACTCAAAAATTCTCTCTTGTGCTTGGTCTAAGTTAGAGGGGTTTTTTTGACTAGAGCTTGACCTATTTGTGGATCAAGAGATGAATTAGTTTGTGACCAGCATTTTTTTAAATGACATACAAAAGAAAATATAGTGCATTGCATGAAGTAAATATAAGAATTGTTTTGTGAAATTTTGTTTCAGTTATATATACATATATATTAAGTTTATCATATAAAATTGCCAATCTTCTTCTTCTTCTTTTTGTTTGCTAAGGAAGATTAGCCCTAAGCTAACATCTGTGCCAATTTTCCTCCACTTTATATGTGGGTCACCACCACAGCATGGCTGACAGTCGTATAGGTCCATGCCTGGGATCTGAACCCAACAACCTGGGCCACCAAAGTGGAGCACGCTGAACTTAACCACTTTGGCTCACAGAAAAAATGGCAGTTTTGTATGTTTTAAACTAGTGTATATGTATCAATATACTGGGTCACACTGTAAAATATATTTCAGACTGTGATCACAGTCAAAACATTTGAAAGCCACTGTTTTTCATGATGTTCCATGAAGCTCAGCTTTGGAAAACTTATGTGAGTCCTTACCCTTCTCTTTCACCCCAGTCATCCCTACAGAAGAGACTTCCATTTGGAGGTGCTGTTAGCTCAAGCATGCCAGGATAAATTGCCATTCTCTAACCTAAGACCGAAATCTCTTTGGGATGAGGTTCAGTGTTATAATAACATTCTTGGAACACAGGTCTCGTGGCAATCTAACCCTAGAGGGTGGATTTCTGGTTGTCACAAGAACAAACTGAAGGTGTCCCATTAAACCCTAACTTTGGAACCACAGGGCACGCAGGACCTAGTCTAAATGGGCCCCGTGCTGTGTGAATTTTTTTTTTTTTAAAGATTTTATTTTTTCCTTTTTCTCCCCAAAGCCCCCCAGTACATAGTTGTATATTCTTCGTTGTGGGTCGTTCTAGTTGTGGCATGTGGGATGCTGCCTCAGCGTGGTTTGATGAGCAGTGCCATGTCCACGCCCATGATTCGAACCACTGGGCCGCCTGCGGCGGAGCACGCGAACTTAACCACTCGGCCACGGGGCCAGCCCCTGTGTGAATTTTTAAAGTCAGTTCTGAAGGCACATGGAGAGACTATAGGTTCTGGTAGTCGGGAAGTGTGTCCTCACAGGTTGACAAGACCCCACATCCCTGACCTGGGTGACATACGTGAGTCATTTTACTTCTTGGTGTTTCAACCACTCCAGCTGCAAATTGGAATTTATCAAGATACTGATGAGAAAGTATTGGTGCAAACTCTGAGTTCTGAGAGGAAGAGGCATTTAAATCCAAATAATATTGGGATGTTTGAGATTATTTCTCCCACTGGTCTGATGTGGTCACATTGGAGCCGAGTGTCAGCTAAGGACTGACTGACTGGTGGCTCTTCTGAGCCTTCTCTGGACTTGTGGTCATCACCATTTATAGAGACTTTCTCTATGTGAAAAATACCTTTATAATAGCATCTCACTTCATCTTCACAAACCCAAAGATAAGTAATTCTCATGTTATGGATGAGAAAACTGAAGCTCAACAAGGTTAAGTGATTTGCCCAAAGTCACATGATTCAAATATTAAGAATAACAATGGCTAGTAGCCATTTAGCATTTGCACTTTGCAAAGATTATTTCATTTAATTCTTTGAAAACTGATTTTAGTTAGGCACTGGGAATATCCCTATTTTACTTGAGAGGAAACTGAGGCTCAGAGAAGTTAAGTACCTTTTTAGGAAACTGCAGCTGAGCATAGCCGTAAAGCTATGGGCTTGATCTGGGTCAGATATTGGCCTCTCCTAATTCTTTGTGCGTCAGTTTGGTCCTCAATAAAAGGGAGTTAGCGTGTTAAATTCCTAGGTTAGTTGAGAGATTAAATGAGCTAATGGATGTAAAGCACAGTGGAACAGCCTGGTCTTTCTTTGTTCTTCTTCTTCTCCCCACAGGCCCCCAGTACATAGCTGTGTATATTCTAGTTGTAGGTCCGTCTAGTTCTGCTGTGTGGGAGGCCTCCTCAGCGTAGCTTGATGAGCAATGCTAGGTCCACAGCCAGGATCCGAACCAGTGAAACCCTGGGCCCCTGAAGAGGAGCACGCAAATTTAACCACTCAGCCATGGGGCCAGCCCCAACCTGGCCTTTCTAAATTTGAAATCTACGATGCTAACACTATGGGGTCCAATTTGCCACCGCTTTAAGAGTGGGACCCCAGAGTCAGACAGACGTGTGCTCAAGTCCCAGCACAGCTGCTTACAAGCTCTGTGATCATGGGCAAATTGTCTCACCTCTCTGAGAACTAATCTCATATATAAAAAGAAGATAATCCTAAAACTGATGTCATAAATTCTTACGAGGATTAAACGAGATAATGCAAGGAAATCCCTTAGTACAGTGTCTGGCATGTCACAGGGAGGTGTCATGATGTGGGGATAATTCTGACAGTGATGTGTAGAGGTGATCAGCAGAGCGATGGGTATACAAAGATGTACGATCAGGGCTCACAGTTGAATGGGTCAGAAACTCACAAATATAAATTACTCATTGTGAAAATGTTACAGAGTTTCAAACAAAACACTTTGGGAAAATGAATGAGGGACACAAATTCTAATAGGGGGGAGGTGCTGGTAAGGCTTCTGGGATGGGATGGGATGGGACTCCTGGTCTCAGCCAGGCACATTTTCAAATTCGTTCAGTTCTGCTACCCTGGGAGGATCCTTTCAACAGCAACCGAATGCCCCTTTCTGATGGTCTCAATTCATCTCCTAGAAGAGCCCCAGGGCTCCAAAACTGAACTCCTCCATTGAGGGGAGGGGTGAGGTGGGTATCAGGGCATAACGGAAGGTGTTGGTGTGGGATAAAAAAGAAGAGGGGCAGAATGGACTACCCTCTAAGTAGGGTGGCCATATAATTGATCATCCAAATCTGGACTCTCCTTGAGACTGAAAGGAGGTGCTATTGGTAATTTTATGGGACACGTTAACGAGAACATGTGTCACTCCACTTTGATAGGCGAGTGTTTGCCACTGGGCCCTGACCCACCTTACCACCCTGATCTCCAGCTAGCCTTTACCCATAACACAGACCTACTGTGCAGCACACACTGATCCCCACATCACATCAATTCCTGACTGCCTTTGCCTGATGAAATCTTACTCATCAATCAAGGTTCAGAGGGCTGGCCCCATGGCCTAGTGGTTAAGTTCCCACACTCTGCTTCAGAGGCCCAGGGTTTTGCTGGTTCAGATCCTGGGCACAGACCTACACACCACTCATCAAGCCATGCTGAGATGGCACCCCACATAGAAGAACTAGAATAACTTACAACTACAATATGCAAATATGTACTGGAGATTTGGGGTGAAAAAAAAAAAGGAAGATTGGTAACAGATGATATCTCAGGACCAATCTTCCTCACCAAAAAACAAAACAAAACAAAACAAAAACCCAGCCTGGGTTCAAATGTCCCTCCCTTGAGGATACATTTCTATTTTCCTCCTCTTCGTCTACCTTCACACATTCCTTCAATCTCCCAGGAAGAATTCATCTCTTATTCCTCTTAACCTCTTTAGCAGCATATTACTATGAGCATGTCACCTTGCGTGAGTTCTTTACCCACCTCGATATGAGCTCTTTGACTGGAGGGAGGGATGGTGTGGTGTTCATCCTGGTTATTTCCAGAGCTCAGCATCAGGCACAACACCTTCAGGCGCTCTACAAGTCTGCTGACTGAAAGAAAACAAGAGATCTTGTGAGGCTCCAGGTGATAAGACCCAGCTAGCAAATCCTTTTAGGTTACCTGCCCCTCTTGGATTCTTAAATGTATTGTTATCTCATTAGTAAACCAGTTTTAAGCCCTGTTTTGCCCATTATAAGTGCTGGAATAAATACAAAGATGAATAAAACTCAGTTTTCACAGTCTCAAAATATTCTAGACAAGTAGACAAAAAAATAAACCTAAAAGGGACGGGAGGGGGAGGTGGCAGTGCTGTCTAACCACCCAGTCTGCACCATGCCTTTTAGAACTCTGAGTAACGGGGAGAGGCTGCTGAAATCCCATCCTGGCTGGTGATAGAGTATAGACTCCTGGACTGCTGTCAGCAGTTGCTCCTCGGATATTATACAATGTCTTCTTCTGGAACAGGCTTCTCTTGGACAACTGGGTTGTTCCTATCTTATGGACACTGCAAGTCATATAAAATAGAGGTTTTTCTCTTTATTTTGACTTCTAGAGAACTTAGAACCAGAGTTTGACCCCTTCTACAACATTTTTGTTGCTAAACTCAATCTTAGTTGCAACTTTTCTGCCCTTAGATTCCCTCTCGATCAACTCATTTTTCAAAACTTTATGTTATAAGGTATGTATTTACATAAAATACCATATAGGGGCCAGCCCCATGGCGTAGTGGTTAAGTTCGGCACGTTCTGCTTCATAAGCCCAGGTTCGGTTCCTGGGTGCAGACCTAC